AATCTGGTGCAGCTGTGTATGGTAGACAATCAGCTTCTAACTTCAGCTTGTTCAATTAAGCTTTGAGAATAAAACCTGGAAGCTGACTGGTTTCTATGCAGAGCTGCACCAGATTTTGCACTCTTCTCTTTTTGTAAATCTTACCCTATGTGTATACTTATGTTTAGAGAAAATAGAATTCTGTCAATCCAGGATCTGATTAGAAACCCAAACATGGCTAAACAATGGATCTGGACCCAACTTGGGTTGCAGATGTGTTTATGCTGGGTTGCCACTTGACTTTTGCACTAGAACAAAGTAAGTTACAATCAGTATATTAGTGGTAATAATTCTCTTCTTGGGTCCCAATAAGGAAATAATTTTCCTATTTGGATCCTTGTATTAAAATGATCAAAATCAATCAGTTGAGAGAAAAATCAGGTTTTATCGTACAGTATTTGAAATGAAAAAGATACAACCACCACTAGAGGACATTGTAGTGCTGAAGCTCCCTCTTGCTGAAGCTGTGCACTTCAATTTCTTGAGAACACAGGATGACATATTAATAATTCTGATACAGCCCAGCTGGATTTTCTTATGTATATCAAACAGTAGATAGGAAATCTCTTTCTGACATTAATTTATGTCAAAATGATGCAGCACTGTATAGCTGATATGAAATTTCACTGACTGGTAAAGCTGGCAAGGACATTTTTTTCTGAGAAGTATGAAAAACTGTCTCTATTTTAGAAGTAAAAGGACATTTCTCAGAGGTTAAAGGGATCTAGTGTATGGAACGTATTAGATGCTGAAACAGTGGAAACATTTTTATGGTGCTGTAAGCCACAGGCAGGCATATGAGTACTTTGATTTATGACAATGTTCTCATAAAAAAAATGGCTATAAAAAGACAAATTTCTATCTAGTAAAATTATGAAAAATTTGGTATTCATTTAGAATAAATTATCACATGACTACACAGATTAATGTAATTGATCTTACAAGCTAATTAAAAATTATGTAAAAGTAGCAAAATGTGGTGGTAGGCCTTTTTAGGCCTCATTCATATGGCAGTGTTCGTCTGTACACCGTACAGGGATGTCTTCAAATGAGCGATGCACAAGTGTTCAGTAGCCCCCTGCAGGCAGCCTGTTGAAATGTTGAGTGGCTAGCCGCTAGCTGCACAGACCTACACGGATCACCTAATGCATCCCCAACTGTATATCCACGTAGGTTTGATGCACTGATCCATGCATTGGACCTGCAAGGCCAGCCGCGCCTCATTGATTTCAACAGGTTATCTGCATGGAACACCTGTGCATCCCGCTTGGGTAAAGACAGCCCACTGCACAGGTGTGTAGATGGGTACATTGTGTACATCAGGCCGTAGTCCTATTCTATTTCAAAGGCCCTATAGACTCCTGGTACCCAATCTTACTGCTACACATGGACCTTGGGTGTTTACTTTGTGTTCCTTGGTTCCCAGTAGCCAGTACAGGACTTTTTTTTCTCACAAAATAGGTGCATGAACTCAACCACAACCACCCAAAATCCCCTCCCCCTACACACACACCCTCCAAATCGCATCAAATAGTGGGTGTGGTCAAATGTCAATAACAATGGGGCATTAAACAACAGGAATGCATTACGTACAGAGTGCAGAGTTTGGGGGAGGGAGATCATGCACAGAATGCAGAGTTCAGGGGTGCGGAATGTGCAGAGTTCAGAGGGGCGCTGCACACACAGCGCAGAATTCAGCCATATTCCACAGCTCCTTACCTCTGCATCCCCCATTTCACTTTCACCCCTCTTCAGCTCTAACCTCTGCATGCAACCTCACCTCCACTGCCCCCATCCCCCCCGCCCCTTGATAGCTCCACCATCTTCCACATGTTTTACTTTTGTTGCTGTATTAAGCTGAAGCACCCAGCCAGCTCTAGTACTTCCCTGTTCACTGTAGGTGGCTCCACCTCTCTCACTTGGAGATCATCCAATGGGGGTGACGGCATCCACACTGCACCCCAGGAATCTGCATCTCCCTTGTCCCCATCCTGCACTCAGTCGGAGCCACTTAGGTAATCAGATCTGTGGAAGTCAGCATTTGCTGAAGTATATACCTTTGAACCAGAGATTTCCCCCACAGAAGTTTTTCTGCAAGTAGATGTCCTCAGCCTGATGGCATCTTCATGAAAAACCCACAATCCCTGATCCCAGATAATCCAGGACTCTCCCCAGTCTGTGGCTGGACAGTGAAAGGAGAGAAGCAGTACAGTGATGAGCACATCTCTGTCACTCTGTTTTCTCCTTCTTTCAGCATGTCAGTACATGGACTAATTGGCTCATTATAAGGTTGATACCAGGTCAAATCCAGGTATTTACACTGATTAAATGAAAAAAAGCAAACAAATATATATTGGTGTATTAATGATTATGTGGCAGCACACAATATTGCAGAGTTCCCCTTTATGCCTTAATATTTCTAGTTTGCAAAAAATACATATTTAACTCTTAGCTCACTCCATCCCCACACATCCTCTGTAGATGACAATCTAACTTTCAGTTAGCTAAATATAAAAACCACAAGACTATATCCTGTGTACTGCTTAGACTATATTGCAAAGGTAGAACAAAGCAAGGAGGCGATATATGCATTGTGACATAATTGTTTAAACATATACCCTGTAAGATGCTTTTGAAATTACTAAGCTTTTTCTTGCCCAGCTGGTAATAAAGCTTGTTTTCCTCAAGTTCGTGTCCATAGTTTACCTGGCTTTCCCAAAGTTGCCACTACATTTCCTGGTGTAAAACCAGGTGTAACTAACAAGACAGGTGGTTTTCCACCACGACCTGCGGGGACCGGTCCGGAGTTGACCCACTGCATCACTGCGTTGTCTCAGGTGCCGCCGGACATTTGTCTGGGAGACTACACTACATCTTGGTCGCCTGCTTCGAGGATCGACCCGCTGGAGTCCAAAGAACCCGGACTGGGGAACCAACCATCAAATTGTGGAGCTCCACTTCAGGAAAAGGTGAGATCTTTGCCTTTTGGGTTGTAACAGTCAGGACCTCTCAACGGTATTCAAAGAAAAGGGAGCCTGATCACCTCCCAAGGTGACCCCAATTGGATGATTCCGCATCCTGGACTAACCTCTAGTCAGTCAGTAATTTTGGGTTGGAAAGTCTGGTGTGTATGTGAGTGAATGAGACGCTGCCAGCAGCGAAGCAAAAGAGGACCCTGTGTAGGTGCAGTTTTTGGTACTGGGGCTGATATCGTTCTGTTCAAAGTCATAAGGGGAAGCATTTGTCTTTCAACCCTATTGTGTCGAGGATCTTGGACCCCTTACCAGATTGTCAATCCCCTACCCCTCTGTGTCTGTTTTGGTGTCTCAAAGGAAACAATATGGGTGGTAATCAGTCAGTCCAGACCCCCTTAAAGTGCCTTAGAGGGGTGAATATAGATAAGGGACAAGTCCTGATGCCTCACCCCATAGACAGTGGGAATTTACCTTTCCAAACAACTGGACACTGTAGTTCAAGATTGGCCATTGTGCCTGCGGGCTATCGCAGTAACAGCCCTTTTGGTGACCGAAGCTGACAAGTTGTCACTGGGTCAGGAGATTTATGTCCGAGCTCCACACCACATTCAGGCATTAATGTATTACAAGGGAAATCACTGGTTCACCAACAGTCAGATGGTCAAATACCAGGCCATGTTGTGTGAAAATCCTCAAATCCATTTAGGGACTGTCAACACTCTGAGCCCCGCCACCCTGATCCCCACCTCAAAAGAAGCCCTAATACATGACTGACTCCAGGTAATGGATGAAGTCTACGCAAGTCAGCCAGACTTGAGAGACAGTCCCTTGGAAAAGCCAGATGTTGAATATTACACTAATGGCAGCAGCTTCGTAAAAGATGGGACCCGCTACGTCGGTTATGCAGTGGTAATACAGGAGACAGTGATAATGGCAGCAGCCTTACCACAGGGAACCTCTGCACAAAAAGCGGAACTGATTGCCCTGACCCGAGCATTACAACTAGCTGCAGGCTTAAGACTGAATGTTTATGTGGACTCTAAGAATACTTTCCTAACTCTTCATGCTGATGGAGCCCTGTATAAGGAAAGAAGACTTATCACATGCAGGGGGAAAGAGTATCAGGTATGGGACAGAAATACTAAAACTTTTGGAAGCAGTATGGGCCCCCTCTGAAGTTGCAGTGATACACTGTAGGGTCATCAAAAGGGAGACTCCCAGGTGGCCAAAGGCAACAGAAAAGCAGATCAGGCAACCAGAGAGGCAGCATTCGGGGGTCCCCACAACAGATTATGGACCCTCTGTTCCTAGTACCACTCTCTGAATGGAACCCAATCTATACAAGGGCAGAAAGAGACTGGATAGAGACTGAACCTGGAAACTACACACCGCATACAGACTTCAAAGTTCTGGAAAAGTGGAGAGAATGAACCGCACCCTAAAGTTACAACTGGCAAAACTCTGTCAGGGAAACCCAAAGTAAGTAGACCTTGATGCTGCCCATTGCCTTGCTGAGAATCTGAAGTACTCCAACAAAAAGAACAAATTTGCCCCCTTTTGATGTACTATATGGTAGGCCCCCACCCATCATTAGAGGTATCAAAGGAGACTTGTACCAGATGGGGGGGTGATGATTCACATGAAATCTGGGTGCAGTGCAATTTCAACCTATTCATTTTTCATTATTCGAATGACCTGAAATCACACTGGACCACAGCAAAAGTAGTGCATGCCCTACTTTTCAAAATGCAGAGCAACTAGATTTCATGGTACTTCTGTACCATGCAATCCGATGCAAGCAAATGCACTGCATTTGCAACCTGCATTTGGGGTGTCATTAGCATTGCACTGACACCCGCTGCAGATTGCAAGGCCAGTGCATTTTGACTGAGGTTCTCCCGCTCCACATTCTGGTGTGGCATGTTTCAAATATAGATGAAAGATAGAGAACCCCTTCATGGTTTTGCATAAATTGAAATACAATAAATGCTGTATGATACTACAATAACTATACTGCCAAAATTGCTGCACCATAATAAAGGAAAAATATTTATCACAATAACATCTGATCAGGGGTGGACTGACAACTCATGGGGCCCCTGGGCAATAGGGGATCATGGGGCCCCTGTGTCCTTGCCCAAACTCAAAAATCCTATGAAAAAGGTACCAGGGGCCTCTCATGGGGCCCCCTACTGACCCTGGGCCCTCGGGCAGTGCCCGAGTTTCCAAATGGTCAGTCCGCCCCTGCATCTGATATTTAACCATTTTATTATAGCCATAAGACTAAAATGGCAAAGTAGTTGTTTAGTCGTGATTTATAAACTGCACTGAATAGAGCACCCTTGGGGGGGGGGGGGGGGGCTACTGTGCACATTGATGCCTGTGACGGCTTGGTTTACAGACATTGTGTATAGAGCTCATCCGAGCAGCTCTGTGCCTTGGAATTACTGTGATCAGTCATAGAGAGGTCAATCACACACATATAAACAACTGTGAATGAATGTCTCATTCATTTGCTCCTGAGCACATTAGAGAAAGCAACAACAGCTGCGAAAAAGCATAACCCTTTAACCCCTCCTCCTCTCCTACACTGATCTTCAGTCTGTCTCTGTGTTATCTGTGTATGACCTGTATTCACTCTACCTCGCACACCATTACTTGGATCCATGTTTTAAACCCATTTTTATTATAACAAAAAGTAAGGGATTTTGCTTCAAAAAATTTTTTTTTTATATAGTAAAATTGTAAAAACCCAGGGGCTACTAAACACCATCAAAAGAAAGCTCTATCTGTGTTAGGACCTGGATCTCCTTCTGGTGGCACTGTGGTTCTCAAAGGATGTAGTTCCAGTATCCCAGTAGCCAGCAGATCCCAGTAATCAGTCTTCACCCGATGTTTGCTGCTGGTAAGGTATATAACCCCTCCTCTATCTTCCCTCAGCTCATCAGTGTTTTTGCCTGTATTACCTGGTTATTGATGCACTGGTCCTGACATTAATTTAGGTAAGTTCCCTACAATGTGCTAGTTAGGAAGTTGGCTGGCCCAGGATGGGGAAGGGGTTAATGTTGTTCATCTCTGTTTCCTGGCTTTTTGGATCCAGCTTACCCACCCTGTGATATAATAAGGGGGGATTCCAGGGGCTTCAGCTTTGGCCCACTTAGGAAGATGCTGTGATCATTGTGGAGTTCCCTAGAGGGACTGCTGTGCTCTGCAGTCCATTGGAAGGCACCGGGAGCCCAGAGAACTGCCAAGACTGGGGAAACATCAAGAGATGGACTAACACCTAGCTGAGGTATGCCTGGGCAGCCTAGTTGAGATAGTCAGGGAATGGTTCATTCAACTGTTCATTTTGAACCACCATGTCACCAGTATGTTAAGGAAAGTTGCATTAACTGTTCTAAACTTGGTCTAAAGTTACTTTAAAAGGGGGTGCTTGATGATTCCCGGTGTATGAAAGAACTTGGGTCAGTAATGCACAAGTGGGGGTATGAGCAAAGCCGCTACAAAAGTTTACTCAGCAAGAGGAGCAGGAGGAACCGTGCAGTTGCTGTGGGCAGCCCAGAACAAGGTGAACAGCAGTTTGCCATGAAGTGTGGTACCTGGTGAGGGTGACAGGTCCTCCTGTACAAGGGGTTGGTGACTTGACTTCTGCCCCAGCGATCAATTTCCCAATGCAAGTGGAAGTAAACAAGTGCATGCATTAGGTCAGTGCACGGCGCTAACCTATTCTGTCACTGGGAGTGAGGTGGCAGAGGTACGCTGGACAGGTGGAGATGGCATAGGCTCAACAAGTCTTTCCTAAAAGCAACATATATGGGAAGGGTGTGTAGTGACATGGGACGGAAAGCTTTACAGCTTTAGGTTGCTAGTTAAGTACTTTTTTCACTTGGTTTACTGTTCATATATTGTTTCACTTTTGCTATGTATTCTGTTTGCTTGTGTTGGATAGGTTTTTGTTTCATAAAAACATAAACAACTCTTAGCATTACATTAGCACAAATGGAGAAAGAGTGATTAGGTCCCAAGCAAGAAGCCGTAGTCTCTGTATGGTAGATCCAGTTGTGTTAATCCACTTCTATTATGGCTGCAGCTCTTCTAACAGGATATTGGCTATCTCTGTGCACTAAAACAATAAACAAAAAGAAGGTGCCACCATCTACTGTAAGTGTATCAGTTTAATTAAAAACAAGTAAAGGAAATGGTTAAAATACACTCACAAGGATGAGTAAATGGGCATATCATCAGTCCTTATTCGCTGGCAAGCCCCGGTGGACAGCGGATGGATGGATGCATGCAATGCATCCTTAAAACAACTCTGCGGGATAGGTGGAATAAAGCTGGACTCTGTCAGAATGCACATTAAGTCTGTATGATAGGCTGTGTCTTCTCCAGCAGCAAATATAGCCGTACTGGAACATAAGCCAGTGCTAGGACTGGAATCAGAAGTGACATTATGACATCAAAGTGTGATGGGTGATAACATGTTTCGCAGCCCACAATCACTCTTTTGTCAAACCTTGAGCTTTCTTCCATCTGTGCTGGCATTTTTAGGGCAGACTTTCGGGGTGTGCCCCCTTGGGGGGGGGGGTGCGCTTCAGTGGCATGTCTGGGGATTTGGAGGTTGGTGAGGTTGGGGGGTATCGCGAATAATGCTCAGTTGTTTTCCTACCAGGTGGACATTCAACTTCATCTGAAGCCAGCTTCTAGTATAAGAACCCTTGGAAAGGCTTTTTGAGCTACAAGCAGTTGTCATCTTTGCTGTGTCATTACATCGAGAGCATGTGGACGTTTGTTTGTCTATCCCGTAATGGGATTGCTTTGACCATCTTTAGGTGAAGTACTCCTTCCATACAACCAGATCAAATCTAGAACACTTGCAAACAGTTGTTTAGCTAGCCATAACAGCAATACCTAGTTCCTTAGAAACCAACAATGGTAGAAGGCTCCAGCACACAATTGCCTTATGGTTCCTAAAGTTAATTCTAAGGGTCCTCCATATGGCTGGGCTACAGCCACCAGAAGTAATGGCTGCATGTTTGGCCAGCAGCATCTGGACATTGTGAACATTTGGGCACATTACGCAGAGATGTCAGCCAACACAGGACAGCCAGTCAGGTCCTCTTATGGTGCATTCTTTCAGCACTACTGATGGGCTTAGTAGTCCTCACTGCAGCTGTCTTTGACCAGAAGGCAGTAGCTTACAAATTTTGTTTTTAAGATAGGATTTCCTTAAGCTTCCCACCCTGGTAGCTAGTTATTGGTATACCACATGTACTGCCTTGTTGGCACCAGGAAAATGGAAAATTGTATCAAATTGTAGCACTACCCCCTTAGGAGTTGCAAAGATTTTGGGCCCCCCTATAGCCCAGCACAGCCAGGCAACATGCATTTTCACGCAGACTTGCATCCAGGAGTCAGAGATCAGTCCTTGAGCTTTATTTTGTTATTTTATTAGGGGGGTTTGAACTAGGATAGGATTAGGGGTGTACGGGATGCCCAATGGAACCAATGAACTGAGGACAACTTGTTGGAACTATTTACATGCCTCCACTGCAACACAGCCTCTGTTGGAGAGCTAGCCAGTGTCCCCTAGTGTACCACCTCAGATTCTATATAGACTCCTCTTCCTCTATCCAGCAGTCTGGAGGCATCCAGTGTCTTTCTCTTTAAATGATGAGACAGTCCAGTAGGTGGTGAATCTGGTTTCCCACCAGAGTGCTTCTTCCCCTATCTGGCCCACGGGGTGCAGGTCTACTCACTCAGTCCTTCTTTTGTGCAGCTGGTAGGTTGGTGGCTGCTACCAGGCCTTCAAGCCGGGCCGCTCCTTCCTTGCCACACAGGTGGTCCTCTCTCAGGGGGCCAGTGAAGTCTCAATTTTCCACCTTCCCAGCTCCACTGCCTGTAGGTGAGCCCCTCTCTTCATCTGTGCCCCCTACCAGGCAACTGCCTTCAGCCTCACATCTTCCTCTCTGTCTTCCACCTGAACACTCTCTCCCCAGCTGAGCAGGCTCAGTTACTCTTCAAGGCTGTCCTGGCCCCCTAACCAAGCCTTCTGTTGGGAATTGGCCAGGATCCACTAAGAGTACAGACCAGCCACTCCTCAAATCTGCCCACTGCTTCTAGACCTTTCTCCAAAGTTCAAGAACAGGGGAAAATCCGGAGGGCTGGTCTGCAGAGCCTCTCAGCTCTGACCCAAATTTGACCCTGCTAGCTATCACACCCAAGCCTCTACCCAGACCTCCTAGCTAACAATTGAATTAGAGCTCCCCTAGCTAACTAGGAAGGTGCTACAAAATACTTACCGTAATTTTGCTTTCTTGGCGACAATTCATGGCAGCATACCAAACCCAACCAATTCATTCTGATGTACAGGGAATGGGCTGTTGCATGGGTGTAGCTTTGCACTGGTCCTTTGGGTGGAAGTAGGCGGGGCTACTACCACATGTATGCTGCCATGGATTTACACCTATAAAGGAAAATTATGGTACGTATATGATACAATTTTCCAGTTTATTTCCATCTGTGTTCCCATTGTAGAGATTTTCCAACATGTCCTGTCCTGGCTGAAAGTGAGGGGAAATTTCCCCAAGGGGAAGACAGACATTAATAAAACCTGAAAGAGTTTTTTACATATCCCTGTTCTATACGAAAAAAAAAAATGTTGTAGCTGCAGCAGGACTTCAATAAAACGTTTGCCATTTGCCTACGTGTGATGTCATGTTATATGCATTCTCCTTTATGCAATGTGGGAAATACTGTGTAAACACCAGTTTCTGAATGTGATACCAATTTAAAAAAACTCAATACACTATATGGTTGGCATTTACAGAGTGGTGAGTCATGGGCGATTGGCATGCAAATACTGTTGCCAGGACTATGACAGAGTAATTTGATTAGATTTGCTGGGTGTGTCCAGAAACCAGGAAAACCTGTCTTGGCCTTGCAAATGATTAAACTTATTTTCTTAGAGCAAACAGTGTTTTATTATTAGTTGTGAAGCATATAATTACCTCAAACGTCAGAGAAAGCCTTTAGCAAAAAAAAAAATAACTCAGATACTGTTGAAATAACCAGCCACCGTTAGTGACATCAAGTCTGGGATCTTCTCCACAAACTTGCTGTCACAATTTAAAAGAAAACACGGACGGGTGGGGCTCCAGGTCATTCTTTCCCAGAGTTCTGTGAATGGGAGAACTATTCACAGTACCGTCAGCCTTTGTGGCTGTTGGCTTGTAATTCTTAATGTACTACCATGGCGCTGTTGAGCTCTTGTACGAGGTACAGGCAGACAGCTTGCACTGACTGTCTGCAGGAGTTCTGCACTCCACCAGCGATCTGCTGATCACTTTGCAAGCTCCTAGCAAAAAAAAAAAAAATAACAAAATGCACCTTTTTTTTGTGCCTGCAAAGAGATGTGCATTTATAATTTTTTTTTTACAAAGGTGAATTTATCCTTTAAAGAATAGCTTCAGGCACGGCTATATTATGCATAGCTACATTGGTACAGCCAGGGTGTATTTATCACAAGGCAAACAAGGCACTTGTCTACGGCGGCAGCTTTCAGGGGGCATCAACTCCCCCCCAGAAGAAGGGATGAAAGAAGGGACACGCTTTGCCATGGGAACCAGGTGGGATCCGAGAGATGCTGCGGGCTGCTTGATGGTGTATGTAGAGCCTGACTCTCATTCCCAGGGAGCTGTGAAGATGAGTGTCTTTTTCTCTATCGCCGGGGGGGGGGGGTAGTGAAAGGCTCTCCCAGGTGGGGGACAATGCTGTTGTTGGTCAATGTCAGCATTGTCAGGTTCTCTCCGCGGGAGGGGGAAGGGGGGTGATGCTGGTCGGTGTCCGTGTGCGCTGACGATTTTTGTGTTGCCTAGGGCAGCAAAATACCTAAATACACTACTGGGTACAGCTAGGACCAATGTAGCTACAGAATCTATAAACCATTTTTGGCTCATGCCCCTGGAAGCTGGAAGTGTACACTGCTACACCAGTGAACTCCACTTGCTTGCATGTCCTGCACCAAGTGGCTGCACTTCTGCTTACTGAACACATTCTGAATGAATGTAAAGCATTCTCTGATTGGACGAGGTGGAGAGATGGAGTGGTGATGTCAAACTCTCCAGTTTCATCCAATCTGGGAAAGCTTTGCATTCATTTAGGAAATGCAAATAATTCTCTGAATGGTGCCCATGCTGAGTGGCCAACCTCCTGTGTTCAGCATTCAGCAGGACAGCTGTTCAGCACACAGGACCTTGAAGCAAGTGGCGATCACTGGAGTAGTGGTGTCTACTTCAGTGATTTTCAGCTTCCAGGGCGATGAGACAGGTATGGTGTATACATACTGTAGACATGCATAGAGGAAAGTCTCAAACACTGCACCCCTAGCAAAGCCATTAGTAAACAGGTGAAAGCAGCTTCTGCCAGCTTCCTCCAAAGCCACACCCCCAGTGTGTTTCACCCCCACCCTACAGGAGCTTGAGCAGAGACCTTAAGTTTTCCTGGTATATACATAGGTACCATGGGCGGACTGACAACTCATGGGGCCCCTGGGCAATAGGGGATCATGGGGCCCCTGTGTCCTTGCCCAAACTCAAAAAAGCCTATGAAAAAGGTACCAGGGGCATCTCATGGGGCCCCCTACTGACCCCAGGCCCCCAGGCAGTGCCCGAGTTTCCAAATGGTCAGTCCGCCCCTGATAGGTACATTGGTCCAAGTTGGACCAATGTAACTAGGTATAATATAGCCATACCTGGAATTATTCTTTAACTAGCTGCCGACCGCAGATAGCCGAATGACGGCTGCACTGCGGCCGGCCAGTTCTGGGTGGACGTCATATGACGTCCTCCCAGAACGCGCTCTCCTGCGCGCCCCAGGGGGCGCGCACCCGGCGATCTCCTACGGACACAGCTGATCACGTGATGTGGTAAAAGGCCAATCACAGCGGCCTTTTACCACCTGATCAGCGGTGTCCAATGACACGCTGACACCTTTTTCAGAGGGAAATGCAAGTGCCGGTTCTCGGCTGCACTTTCCTCATGCTGTCAGATCGTGAGGAAAGTACTGCCGAGAACCGGCAGTTGTCAGAGCGGGGATTGGCACCGATCATCAGGGCACTGATGATCAGTGCCCTGATGATCGGTGCCCAGCAGTGCCACACGCAGTTTCCGCCCACCTGTGCCCAGCAGTGCGCCCACTAGCTCCGCCCACCCGTGCCCAGCAGTGCACCCACCTGTGCCCAGCAGTGCACCCACCTGTGCCACTCTGCAGTGCCACCTACCTGTGCCCAGGGGTTGTGCCAGTCAGTGCGGCCAGTCAGTGCCCATCAGTGATGCCAGTCAGTGCCGCCAGTCAGTACCCATAATCAGTGCCGCCTATCAGTGCTGCATATTAGTGCCGCCTATCCGTGACACCTCATTAGTGCTGTCTATCAATGCCGCCTATCCGTGCCCACCTCATTAGTACTGCCTATCAGTGCCCTTTAGTGCTGCCTCTCAGTGCCCATCAGTGCCGCCTATCAGTGCCCATCAGTGCTGCCTCATCAACGCACATCAGTGAAGGAGAAAAAATACCTGTTTGAAAAATTTTATAAAAGAAACAAAGAAACTTTTTTTTTTTTTTCAAATTTTTTGCAATTTTTTTATTTATAGCGCAAAAAGTAAAGTGCCCAGTGGCGATTAAATACCACCAAAAGAAAGCTCTATTTGTGAGAAAAAAATGATCAAAATGTCATATGGGTACAATGTTGCATGACCGCGCAATTGTCAATCAAAGTGCGGCAGCGCTGAAAGCTGAAAATTGGCCTGGTAAATAAGGGGGTATAAGTGCCTGGTAGGCAAGTGGTTAAGAATATGTCATTGAATAGATTTTTTTTCTGAGTTAGGTGACACTTTAAATTTGTGTTTGTATACCTGTTGGTTTCCCAAAAACTAGTGCCTGAATTTATTCCAGGTAATAATTGATCATTGATATTCCCAAACAATCACTGTCATTTTCCCTGTGACAGTACAGTACCTAACGGATAGGTAAGTCATACATTGTACATGGTTCTAAGATTGGCAAGAGAAATCATCAAGAAGAACAGTTTATGGGGACCAGTTGTCACAACCAGAACCAATAGAAGGTGGACACCATGTATTGAGGTATTACTCTGCGTTACATAATACCCATAAAAAACAAGTAATATATACTTCATAATGCAAAAAGTCTTATTCATTAGCACTGTGGTCTTGCAATTCAGATTTTTTGAATTCAGCATATCAATTAATTTTACTAATATTCATGTTACTTATTTATTGTACCATGGTTATAATCAAGTGAAATTTCTCCATTTTGTGTCATTACATTTTAATTATTTTATCCATTTTATGACCAGGGTCATTGCTGAATTCTGGATACTCAGTCCAAATTTAGTAACATCTGTATGTATTGATATTAATAAATTCCCTGCTCGTGTTTTTTTTTTTTTTTTTTTTTTTTTTTATTGGGGGTTACACAGATCTTCCTTCTTCAAGGTTCAAGGCGTGTTGGGTAATATTAATTTTCTAGTTACTTCCAGACAGTCGATGTCAGCTCATAACACAGATTAGTAAAGATAGTGGGTGGACCACAAAAAATGATAGCTGGTATTTAAAATGTAAATCTTGACCACATTACCCAATGCAGCAAAATGTACATTTACTGTTTTTTTTTTTTTTTTTTTTTTTTTTTATATAAAAATACCAGGGCAGTCATACAAATAAAAAAAAAGCTAACATTTGGGGTAACAGATGTTCCTAGTAATCTCAGTGATTTTCAAAACACATCTCCACTATGTTATGGAAAAGAAGAGAGGGTTTTTTTGTAGTCTTGTCCTAGGGTGACAGTGCTGCTCCTGCTTGGATACAGTACAGTGTGCAAGCATTGTCAATCTAGGACAGGATGGGTGTTACTGGCAGGATCACCAGGTGAAAATATCAGAATAATTGCCTAAAAAACAGAAAACTATCACAGCCACCACATCTAAGGAATGATAAGATGTAATATATTATATCTCTGTTCTTGGGTTTAGATATGCTTTAAATCCCAAGTTTAGCTAAAAATAAAAGCAGAAAAATCAGTGCAAGGGACATAACTTACAGTTATAAGATTTGTAAAATCTTTATTTTTCACATATGCGAAAAGGAATATTACAAACATAATAGAAAGCAAACATGCTGATACTCATTAGCACATTGCTTCCATAGGCGCACAGGCAAAATAGGGGTCCCTTGTGTTGAGTCTTCTTGTTTCAGGAGAAATCTTCCTACCCCTACCCCTACACACACAAACATAGACACACACACATACACACACACACACACATACATACAGTACTGTAATCTTCTTGTGCATTGGGGGTTACTACAACTAAAGGACTGTCAGGAGTTCTCATCAAATGAGTTTGACTATGCCTGCTCTTTCCTGCCTGATCTGCCATTCATAGCAGCCATACTACAGATTCTATGAATGACACAGGATCTCTGATGTAGGGGTCTTGCTTTCAATTATGGTGGCAGGGTGGTGGGTGGAGGCGGATTAGGACAGGGGAAGATCAATACAAGGGATACAACATACATATTGTCATTTACGTCCCTTGTGCTGATGTATATGTTTTTATTTTTAGCTAAACGTAGGTTTTAAGATGTAAAATAATATCAAATAATTCAGCTACTCAAGACTATAGTTATACAATGTTTCAAGATCTAACACAAAATATTTGGTTAAATTTGGTGAGGTCACTTTGCATAGAGTATAGGAGGGGTTATAAATTGGACATGCATAGCAAGTTGTGTCCTCATGTCAATAAAAGCAGCTGTTTGAAGTAATCACACCTTTTCTTGTTAGGCAATAAATATGAGTGTTGGCATAATCTGTCACAATGTCACACTATAAAGCAGGTCAGCAACTTCCTCAAATACCAACAGAAAGGAAACTGTCAAACCAACAAGCTTGTGTTTTGAGTTCAGTGGTGTAAGAAGTCACATCATGTAAGTACGAGTGTGAATATATTTCATTGTGAACTTAGGTCAGAGATTTGACAATGTATTATTTTTTTAAACCCAGGTATTCCACCAGCCAGGGCTGATTATAGGTCTGGATAATATACAGGAACATTATTTATTTGTTGATAGTAGTTTACTAATAAAAAAATGTATTTCTCCACCTTTCAATATCCAGCATGTAAAGCATTGGAAAACAGGTACTGTGTTTGATAAACTCATTGCGGTTGATTTACTAAATGAATAGAGAATGTTTGTTTAGTAAGCTCATAATAAATATGAAAACTGAATATTCACTAAGTTTATTTATTAAAGGTGAGGACGTAATCATCGAATCAAATGCTAATAAAAATTCATCTTTTTAATTTCTCTTGACATTAGTTGGGTATTTACAGTTAACATAGCTCCTCTTTCTTCTTTAAGTGAGCATTCCTTTCTCCATTAGTAAAATGTGTAAAGTACTCAAAATCGTTAGATTTGTTATTTTTTTCAAACTCCCTGCATATTTTTGCACATCTGTTACATTCATTGAAATTGTAGCAGAAGCAGTGAGACTCCTTGGCAAAATTTTGGTAGAGCCATTAAAGCCGAGATCCAGGGAAAATAATTTTCTTTGCTGTAGTTGTGTCAAATATTTCATGTTTTATCTCTCTGTTACTCTGCTTTTTCCTCCTATCAATATGTTCTGTGTTAGTACATGAGCATTACAGCCCAACTGAATGGCTCCTTCTGCTGCTTCTCCCTCTTCCAGTCTGAGCTTTGCTGTACAGGGACTGCAGGGTATTAAATCCAATTGATTCCCTTGAACAGAATTGTAAAGTGTGACTCATCCCTATATAATATATTAAAGTGGTTTTAAAAGTTTTTTTTAAATTAAAATAACAAACGTCATACTTACCTGTTCTGTGTAATAGTTTTGCACAGAGAAGCACCACTCTTCCTTTCCTCAGGTCCCCCACAGGCGATCCTAGCTCCTCCCCTCACCAAGTGCCCCCCTACCAAGCTGCTTGCTATGGGGGCACTCGTGCATATTTTTTTTCTAAGCTGGTCCTGCCCCCTTCTCACTGGCTGTGATTGATAGCAGCAGGAGCCAATGGTACCTGCTGCAGTGTCTGAGCCGATGAGGATGGGAAGAGCAGAGAGAGCCAAGGTTCTTGTGCACATCGCTGGATCGCGATGGGGTTCAGGTAAGTATTAGTGAAAGCTGGGGGGAGCTGCACACTGAAGATTTTTATATCTTCATGCATAGAATGCATGAAAGTAAAAGTCCTTCTGCCTTTATAACCACTTTAATGAATACTTTTTTTGTAAGGGTGCAGGTACTCCAACTCCCCTCCCCCATCAACACGAAACCCAGAAGAGAGTAAGGAAACAGTGTGCCTTGCCTCATAATGGATGTAACCAAATTTTGCTAGCTTTGGGAGGGTCTTATATGGCACATTCAGTCTTGAGTCTACTTGCTGTATACAAGGCACACATTGTACAGTCCTTCCACCCACACATTATGCTTTTTTTTTATATATATATCTATATATATATATTTACTTATACTTGCCAAAATAAGTGCCATAAAATGTTACCAGCAACAATGGATCCACACTGTGACAGATCCCAGGCTGGAATTCCCCAGGCAATGGGGGAAATAAAACGCTGTGAAAGCAGGCAGCTGAACTGAGCGATCCCA